AACCATGATGGTTAAAACCCAATTTTTGTCACTCTCTAGCTTTCCCAGCTTGGGCTTGCTACAGAACAGGTGATCCAACTAGCGGACCAAATTTGGTGATGTATCCTGGTCATCTGCCACCTGAGGCACACTGTGCATATGATCAGTGTACAAAATAAAAGCTTGGCTTCTGGGCTGCATTTATCTAGCCAGGGATTGACTTGTATGATGGTTAAAACCCAATTTTTGTCACTCTCTAGCTTTCCCAGCTTGGGCTTGCTACAGAACAGGTGATCCAACTAGCGGACCAAATTTGGTGATGTATCCTGGTCATCTGCCACCTGAGGCACACTGTGCATATGATCAGTGTACAAAATAAAAGCTTGGCTTCTGGGCTGCATTTATCTAGCCAGGGATTGACTTGTGTGCTAGCTTGTGGCACTGGTTGCTGAAGCATGTAGTAGTATCTCCATTCAGCTAGTTTCCATTCAAAATTTAAAGCTTCTTCTAAGCTCTATTTCATTTACTTGATGTGAAGTATCAAACTTGGGGAGGCAATGGAAATTTCACTTGTCCCATCGCTATATAGTAAGGTGAAATTGTCCTTGCATAGGAGCAAACATCAGCCAAAGAGCTTGCCAGGTGAGAAGGCAGATTGGGAGCTTTTTTTCACTTAGACACCACTCACATCACTGTGCTTATTGCCGTTTTGAAGTACTTAGATATGAAAAGAGCTATATAAACAAGGATTGTGGAGACTGTGGCTTAGTGCCAGGTTTTCCTCAGATAAACAGGCTAAGTATGAAGTTTTGTCTTAAAAGATTTTTGTTTATAAAAACTAGTACAAATCTATTGTCTTCACTCTCCTCTGGAAAAATGTATTGCTAGTCTCAGTGTCTTGTTTTACATGTCTGGAGGAGTTTAGTTGTGTTTTAGGGGTTACCAAATGAATTTAAGAGGCAGCACGTAAGTACATCTTTGGAACTCCTTGTCATAGGATGTTGTGAAGGCCCAGACTGTAACAAGGTTCAAAGAAGAGGTAGATACGTTTATGGAGAGTAGGTCCATCAATGCTTATTGGTCAGGATGGGTACAAACAGTGTCCCTAGCCCCTGTTTGTCAGAAGCTGGAAGAGGGCTACAGGGGATGGATCACTGGATAGATGTGTGTTCTGTTCATTTCCTCTGGAGCACTTGGCATTGGCCACTGTTAGAAGACAGGACACTGGGCTAGATGGACCTTTGGTCTGACCCAACATGGCCGTTCTTATGTACTTAGGTACATAGCTGGCTTTTTGTGGGAGGTGGGGAGGGAAAGAATTTCTTTGATGGTAAGAGATCCCTGCAGGGGGGAAAGTGCAACCACTGAATATCTGGCTTGAATTAGATTCTAATTTGCCTTAATATCTAGGGATCTTGATTGCCTGTGTCTATTAATGACTAGCCATTGGATGTTCCCCAGAGTTAAAGGGAAACCTAACATCTTTCACTGGTGAGAATCTTTTAAAGAAAATAATTCAGACAACTGTATTGTGTGTCAAGGAAACAGTACCCAGATGTGCATGTGCATGCCTTTCCCCTCTCTAAAAATCTCCCAAAACTATTGCTTTGGCTCTGATAAAGACACTCCAATTAAAACTGAGATCTTGGTCTGCTCTGCAGCTACCAATACCAATAGTGTTTACGCCAAAGGAAGTCGGAGGGAACCAGGATTTTTGTATTATGGGTTTTTTCCATAGACCTTGACAACTGGAAAGATGTTAAAAATAGATTTATGCTAATCCTTGTATGGAAAATTAAGCTTGTGTTTGTAGCTAACTAACTTAGACACTTATCTGTAACTGATCAGTAAATGCCACATAAAGGTGTAGAATGAAGATTAGAAATAATAGGCAAATTAACCATTCAGTGGTAGCTGTGTCTTAACAAAGACATGGGTGCCTCTTGCTTATACTGCCTTCCTGGCTCAGAGCTTGTGATCTAAATTGCTGAGGTGGCCCATAGGTCCTCAAACTATGGATCAAAATGTAGGCTGCCATTATGTGTGAAATTAGGGTCTACAGTCTATCCCCTCTAGCCCATGCAGAGTTCCCTTTTGAGCAGTACAGTGTATAACGTTCATGTACTGTGATGCCCATGACAAAAGCATTTATGGGTCTCTAGTATGTGTAATGTCTTCTTTTGTATTTGTTCCCTTCTCTGTTAGGGTTTATGTCTGACTCTTTTATTGCTAGCTGTGTTCAAGAAAGCATTGCCTGCTCTTCCCATCTCCATCACCTTTGGCTTGATATTCTACTTCTCAACAGACAACCTGGTGAGACCTTTCATGGACACCCTGGCATCTCATCAGTTGTATATTTAAAGGTGAAGAAAAACAATTTGGAAGGTTATGGGTTGTTTTTTTTAAAGCCTTGCTATGAAGTATGGCATTTTAAACAAGGAAGTTGTATAGTTTTACACTTAGTGCCATATATTTTCAAGAGAACTTTTTAAAGTCTATCATGGGATACTTAGTAAAATCTAGTGGCTGACATCTCATGCTTTTTCAAGGGAGTTAGGTACCCATTTCCTGTTGAAATTCACTGGAAGTTGGCTATCTAAGTCACTTGGGTTCCTTTGAAAACCTAGCTTTGGCATTGGTGTTTGAGCAGTACCTGAATGTACTCAAGCTAAACATCACCTGTTGCAAAAGGAGAGAGCCTGTATGTAGTACAGGCTGACAGATGAAGAACCTTACATGTACATTTTGGGAGTTAGGACCTATGGTTATGCTTTAACCTGGAATTGCAGAGGGCTGATTTGTACTATGTAAGACTTTGCACAGCACTTTGAAAGTGACATGCTAACTCTAATTGAAAGTAAGTCACAGAATCCTCATTGAACAAGAGAGGTGACCAGTAAACTAATGTAACTGGCTGGCTGTGAACATTAGACCAGGAGACTGTTAGGATGTTCCAACACTTTGGGCCTAATTGTGGAGGGCTCACTGAAATTCGGATCTGGCCCTTTGTCTTAAAAAAGTTGCTTAGTATTATCCTAATGTGATGTAGCAAGTGAAGTTTTTCTTTCTAACAAGATGCCCTCAGATGGATCTAAAAGCATGAGTCTCTGACTAACCTAGAAGCTCAGAAGCTGTGTACAAACTCATTAGCCCCTAAGTGGATCATACTGGAAGTGTGAGTTACAGTTTCCTATGCTTTCCTGGCAGTTAAAGTGCTAGGAAACATCTTTGTTCACTATTACAAACCTCAGATGACCAAAAAGATTGGAAATATGACAGAACTTCTATTGAACCAGTTTAACTAACTTATTCTTGGCCTGATTCTTGTGTGTAATATAATCTTTATAGGGAGAACTGTTACCTCTCCTTTGTAAAGAGATTGTTTTACGCTAATCTAGGCTTGACTTATCTATTTTTTGGTATTGTTTAAATACTTTTTGAGACAAGATTAGAAAGACCATATAAATATTTATTGTAAGAGTGACTATTTTGGAAATACATTGCTACTGTTTGTGATTTTTTTTTTTTTAAGATACAATCATATTTTATCTGCTATCTGTTATTCTAAATAAGGCATGGCAGAAATTGAAAATAATTGCAAGGGTAATGTAACCCCATAAAACCACAATACTTATTGCCAGCTAACATCACATGTTTGGGAGCTTCTTGTTAGATATGTTAACCATTCTCTCTTTTTTCAGTGTGTTCTTTTTCTTCCCAAAGTTCATTTTTAAGAAATGGAACACCTTTGATTTAGCTCATGTCAGGTAAATAAACAAGCTCTTATTTTTCTTTGACCATTAATCACCGTGCAAAATATACCATTGTGAAATACTTGTGTCAACAAATGTGGTCATATCAGCAACAGTAAAAAATTAATGTCTGCAAATATTCTCTTTAGGAGAGGCACTGACTTCTGTATTTTTAAATTTGTTTTTCCAATAGACATATTAAATCTAACCTCCTTTGATATTTAAAAGATGCTTATTTAATATATTAATAAAAATTAATTCATAGTTTAAAAAACAATTTTTAGTTTGGATGTTTGTATGGATTGTATGCATCTCAGGTTGGTCAAATGTACTCAGTTCTGTTTTTTGTTGAGTCTATTTCACTGTCATTTTCTCACTACTATGTTTAGGTTAAAATGCAGCAGCAGAGGAGTTAATTGTTATAAAAGCTGTGTCTATGGGAATCGGAAAAGAATTAGCATATTTCAGTTTGGTTTTAAGATTTGTGTAATTTTTTAAATAAAATCTCTACATTTTGGGCCAGATTTGAATGTGATCACGTCTAATATTTTTAACTAGATTATTTTTTTTCTCTGCTAACATAGTATGGAGTGGGTGTCAAATATTTATTTACAATGAAGAAAATCCTGCAGGACGCATGTATTTTGTGACCATAGAACAGTGTTTCTTAAACCATGTTCCGTGGCACACCAGTGTGCTGCGAGGCAGTCGGAAGTGTGTCTCAGAGAACAACAGAATTCAAAATGGCTGCCCTTGAAGGATGTTTTTAAGATAGAGGAACACCAAACAATTTTTTTTTTTTAATGAGGAACACCAAGGCCCTCAATAACTCTTTCACCTCCCCTGAACCGTTCCCCCCCCCCCAACTTTTTTTTCCCTCAACAAAAAAGTCCTTGGTCTTCCTCCTAAAAAAACTATTGTTTGTTTGGTGTTCTTTGGTCTTAAAAAGTTTAAGAAATACTGCCATAGAATCTCACTTAACTACTCATTCACTGAAGAAAAAAGCTTATCGCTCAAAACAAAGCTCCCAGTTAATTCTGTTGTCTTCTCAGTTTCATGACCTGTAAGTTAATTGTACAGAGTATTCCTAATAGCCTTTTGGATGAGGTTTTTTCCTTCTTGATTTCCTGTTTTCTTTCTGGACGTAAGCAGATAGTAGAGCAAGAGATACCCCAGCACCACCGCCAGAGGGCAGCAAGTCTCTAGCAAGTAGCTCCAACCATTTTAAAAGATATGTAGAGCCCTACCAAATTCAGTCCATATTGATCAATTTCAGTTACAGGATTTTAAAAATTATAAACTTCAAGATTTCAGATACTTAAATATAAAATGTCACGGTATTTGAACTGTAGGGGGTCCTGACTCAAAAGGAAGTTGGGTGGGGATGTGCCAGACTATTGTAGGGGTGGAAGATGTCTCTGTACTGCCACCCTTACTTCTGTGTCACTGCTGCCTTCAGAACTGGGTGGCTGGGGAGCGGAGGCTGCTGGCAGGGAATCCATCTCAGAGCACCAGCCGAGAAGGAAGGATGGCATGGTATGGTATTGCTACTCTTACTTCTGTGCTGTTGCCTTCCAAGCTGGGCCCTCAGTCAGCAGCCACCACTCTTCAACTGCCCAATTCTGAAGGCAGTGAATAAGTAAGAGTCACAATTGCATGATCCACTCTCCCCCATAACTTTGCAACCCTCAGGACCCCAAGTTTGAGAAATACAGGTCTTCCCCATGAAATGTGTATAGTAGAAGGTAAAAGCAAACAAAATACTAGAGTTCATGGTCCTTGATGTTTTCCATGACCATGAATTGGGTAGGGCCCTAATAATTTGGCTCTCCCTTCACACTTTTTTTTTCTCTTCTCCTGAAGCTAAAGTCTTTTGAACTCACCGTCTTGCAACAAGATAGCAGGCAAACTTTGGTTTCCAACCCTCCCTGGAGCTTTTGAGCATGAGGTGGAAGTGTTTAAAATGAGTTGGCTTCAATATGTAACTAGCCACAGTTCTGGCTGAGTTTGCTGGGATATTGCACAGATGTAATATTTGGTTTGCGTGTGGGCGTTTTCTTTTTAAGCTAAGCTTGAAAGCCATATTGTTGGGCTTTGCAGGGCTCTGCCACCTCCTGCTGTAAGTTAAAGCAGCCTTGAATTTTCTAATGTGCATTTTGCTTTCCAGGGGACCTGTAGGTTTTGGGAGGCGAAACAGTAGTCACGGTACTTTGTGCTCTGTTCACACACCACTTCCACATCCTCTCCTCCTTCCCCTAACATACCCCATGGGCTGTCCCTACCACCTGCATTGGTATGAGCTGTACATGAGCAAGGAGCCTCCCTCACTCCATGGTTTTGTGGCTCCTTTATGGAGTGGTAAAGGGAGCCTCTTGTAACCACCTAGGCCCAGTGTCAGTTGCTGAGGAAGAATGATATTTCAGTTTAATAGGGTCTTTTTTTAACAGGTACTAGAAGATCTACCTACCGTTCAGGTTCTAGTCTAAAATAAGTTGGTTTTTCTTCATTTAAATCCCTGTTCTGGGGTAGGGCTGGGGATTTGGTATACAGGCTGTCCCAAGGAGAGAGGTCAACTTTAACCCTCTCTCACTGCAGTAGGTTGGAGTCAGGTGAGAAGCACCTCTCTATGGCTGCTGCAGTGGGCACAGTCAGGGGAGGAGTGCATATTTCTCAGCTGCACAACAGATCAACACCTAGACAGACAGTCTCTGAAATGTATAGTAGAGAGCTGTCTGTTTCTCTTCACCACTGCCCTCTGCTGGCCTAATGGGATTATAGCTGACCCCATCTCTGGCCTCTTGCTTCCAGCTGTGGTCATTCTGTAGTAGGACTGTCCCTCCTGCCAGACCCTTCCCTTTCCATTTTATAAGAAACAATCACATTGCAGACACATCCCATTATCCTGGCACAACCAAATCCTGACCTTGCTTTAAGTTATGGTAAGAGGAAGCAGCATACCAAATTTGGTGGTCCTAGCTCTGACCGTTTAGGAGGAGTTCTTGAACAAATGGGTTCATGGACAGACAGATGCACATTTCTGAAATAGATAGTAAAGAAGATTACTAGTAGGAGGTTGTGTTTGTGTCTCATCAGATTTCTCACAGAAGTAACTTAAATGCTCCTCTGCCTGTAGTATCTGAACACCTCACAATCCTTACTGTCCTTACCCTTACCACACCTTTCTTAGACAAGGCACTGCTCTTATCCCCATAGAGAGTTCCTCAATGACTTGCCCAAGGTCATGCAGGAAGTCTGTGTCAGAGCAGGGAACAGAACCAGTGTCTCAGGCTAAGGCCTTGAACCCCGGACCATGCTTCCTCTGATGCCTCATTCTTTACTGTGGCCTGACTGTCATGCACCTCCTGTTGCATCCCAGATCAAGCTGCTGTGCGTGCTTGGGAACTCAATGAGTTAACAAGTAGAGCAGTGGGTTGTTTATCTTCCAGGGTATGTTTATTAACTGTTTTGGCTGATGCAGATATGTGCACGGCTTGTCTGTCTGGCTGCCGGTGTCAATGCTCAGTGCTATTTAGGGTACAATATTACAAAAAGATATAAATAAACACGGGCTTTGAAAGGATGGCAGCTGGAGTCCCTTATAGCTGAGCTAGGGACAGGGCCAAGAAGCTGCTGTGGAAGTTTCCCAAAACTGGGAGGTGCTTGTGTCAACTGCAGCTGAGACTAAATGGCAGCTTCCAAGGTCATCTCAGGATTAGACTAGGGCAGAAATGGTGTAACCTGCCTGGTCCCAGCATTCCAGAGATGTGCAAAACGAATGAGCCAGGCAAGACACAGATCAGGAGGAGGGCACAACAGGCAAAGCAACTAGACAGAGGTCATCAGATTCACGGATCCTCCATGTTCAGGACCTGATCATTGGTTTGCTTACATCTGTATAAATAAGGAGTAACTCCACAGTTGTTCCTCCTTTAAATGCAGTAAAATCATTGGCGATGGAACAATATGTCTAGCGGGAGTGCTGAAAGCCATCCAGCAATGCTGTAAATCCTACAGATGATGGAACCCATTTCATATACAGGGGTGCTCTTGCAGCACCAAAAGCACCTCTAATTCCAGCACCCGTGTGTAAAACCAGTGCAAGTGAGAGGGGAATCTACCCCACACCATTCTTCACTCTTCCAAAGCTAAACTCAAGCCTGCTGCAGTCCCACTGAAATTAAGGGGAATGATGTCTGTTTATGTAAAGGTCTAATTTTGTTGCCCACACAATATCAAATTGGTATAAATCACATACAGGAGCCACCAGTAGGGAAGAGTTAACATGACTTATGCCACCTTGTAGTTCATGCCAGTATGTGTCCTTGGGTCAGAAAAGCACCATATATAGCCTTTTGGTGCTGAATTTACTTTATTCAGACTTAAATAATAAAAACCTCTCTAAGGCTCAAGTTACCATGAGATCTAATTAGCAGCACAATGGAATAGGGATATTAGATAGTGATTAACTGAATAATTACGGACTTACAAAATATTATCAATTACATGACTATTCAATAGACCCTGAGGCAGGGGCGGCAGTCAGTGTATTCCCAGCCCCACTCCCAGGGAATCCTCTGCCACCTCGCACTGCTGCCTCTGTATTAAAGGCAGCAGTGCAGGGTGGCAGGTGGAGTCGTTCTGCGAAGGGAGCCAGTTTAAAAATTGGTTCCCTGCACAGATCAGCTCCAGCCTGCTGACCCGTGTTGCTGCCTCTGATATAGAGGCAGCAGCATGGGGCGGCACCAGCCCCTGTCCACAGGGAGTCCAAGCTCCCCGCAGACAGAAGCTGCTCTGGCATCCCACGGAGCAGACTCTGTCCACAATGAGCCTGGGCCCGCCATGGACACAGGATGCCCCACGGCAGCCTCCACTGCTGGAAAGCTATCTTCCCATGTAAACTGGCTCCAGCGTGCCCTACTCATCCTCCATGCTGCTGCCTCTTTATCAGAGGCAGCAATGTGGAGGCTTGGTGGGGAAAGGTGGCTCCATGGATCCGGTGCTCATGCAGAGCTGGCTGATAAAATGACAGCAAGGGGGAGGGAGTGTGTGTAGTCAATAAGATTAACTGAGATGCCTCGGCTTATTGGTTATCGCGTATTTGGCTACATGTTGACACCCCCACAATGAAATCTCAACAGCATTAATAAAATTTCAAACAGGAACTCAGCCAGTAATCCACGGAGTCATTTTCAGGCTTTCATTGTGCTGGGAAGCATGCCCTGGCCCTCTCCAAAAACCCTATCCAGCATGGCTTTTGCAACATGCCTGGAAGTTTGACAAATCTGGGCTATGTTGAACCCAAAATAATTAGTAAACAAAAATTGTGGATTCTAAAACAAAAATGTTCCATGATTTGTGTCATTGTGTGATGCTGGTGGGCAGGTATGTAAACGAGATGGCAAACATACCAACGGGTTTCAGAGAATTGCTAGTTCTGCCAAGTCAAACTCTGGGTCATACTGCAGGCTAATAGAGATCAGGAGCACTCAGTGGCCATGCACTGTCCACACAAAGGCTCAGTGCT